CAAAAGTTTTTGTTTCAACTATGACAAAATTTCTTTCGGTTTCATTTTCAGAAAAAAATTGTAATTTAAGAAAAATAATCCATAATTATTTAAAAAAAAATCTATAATTGGATAAATACAAGCTTCACATTTTTTTGCTTCTATATTTCTTCCAGTTTGGCCAATTTTGGCTTGAGACACTGAAAAAATCTCTTTTTATTTCAAAAATTGTATAGACCTTGAAAAACTAATTTTTCAGGATTTTTGTAGTTTTAAGCCTGAAAAACTTCTTTTTCAGTTGCCGTATGGGTGTCTGGTGTGGTGGCCGCCCTCGGCGTGTCAGTCCTGGGGATCTTCTGCTTTCTTAGCGTCATCCAACTCGCAATGTTGAGTTCAAAGGAAAAAGTGATGATGAAATACAGTATAGTCGTCGCGACAAAATTAGCTTTAGGACTCCTAGCGAGTAAGTTTTCCCAATAATCGCGGCATTGTTGTATTCAGAAACGGAAACTTTGCTTAGCACAATCAATTACAAAACGTGGTTTAATTGACTAAACACGTGCTGAAATAATTGTATTCGCACCTGGAGAAATTTGAAAAGGTTTTATTTCCGAATGCAATCACGGGATTAGTTGTAGACCTTGAGAATGCAATAAAGTAGATTTGCATTTTGTTTATTATTGTTGGAGTTGGATTCCAAATCGATCAACCGGAAATGAAAATCATTTACAAAGTGTCATTTTAGCTTTATTGGCGATCGCAGCTGCGGGTCTTTTCGCCCTTCAAGCCGACGATCGACAACGCACCGGATTCCAGATTAGCCGAGGTCCCGGATTTTACATCCAGGTCAGTGTTAATAACACGCCCGGAATTGCGAATTAAGTTTTTTTCCAGATTTTATTGATAGTCTTAACCGGAATCCTCTTCGCAATGTCGGTTTACGATGTTCTGCTCTCGCGGAGAGAGGGCGGAGACCCCACGAGGGTTGCAGTGCCAATGGAGGGTGCCACGTTTGGGAATCCGGGATTCCGGGAGCGAACCAATGGTAGTACCTAATTGATTATTATTTTTATCGGGAAAAAACAAATTTTTAAACAATTTTACATAAAAAAGTTAAAACTTGAGAAACTTTATTTCATTTTTCTAGAAAAAAATTTGACAAGCTAATTATATTTTAAATTCTGGCCCATTTCTCAAAAATTATTGTCTGTAGATAAAAACAAAAACAGATTCAAATTTTTTATTTTGTGTAAGAAAAAGTAAAATTTAAAACTTTCTACTTTGTCAAATAAAAAGTTTGAATTCTGGCAAACTAAATTTTTTAAACAACTTCTCAAACTTTGACCGATAACGTAAAAACTATTACTCTAAAAACAGATTTGGATTTCTTGGACAATCTTGCGTTGGAGATTGAGTTGTTTTTACTCTCTACTTTGCCAAAATAATTCATTAAAGTTTGAATCTTGACAAACTAAATTCTTACCACAACCTTAAACTTTGGTCGATATCACAAAAACGGTCAGCTGTGGATAAAAAATAACGAGAGATTGGTAATTTTTGGACAATTGTACATAAGAAAACTTAAAATTTGAAATATTTTTTTCTTTTTACTTTGCCAAAATAAATTTTTATACAAGAGTTTAGATTTTGACAAAATAAATTTTAACCAATCTCGCAAACTTTGACCGATATCTTAAAAATTATTTCTCGTAGACGAAAAATAAAAACAGCTTTGGATTTTTTGGACAATTCTACGTTAGAAAATATAGAAGTTGAGTTGTTTTCACTCTCCACTTTGCCAAAAAAAATAATTTAAGTTTGAATCTTGACAAACTAAATTTTGATCAAAACCTTTAATTTTGGCCGATATCACAAAAAGGGTCAGCTGTAGATAAAAAATAACGAGAGATTGGTAATTTTTGGACAATTCTACAAAAGGAAACTTAAAATTTGAAATATTTTTTCTTTTTACTTTGCCAAAAAAAAATTTTAAACAAGAGTTTAGATTTTGACAAACTTTGACCGATATCTTAAAAACCATTACTCGTAGACAAAAAATAAAAACATATTTGGATTTCTTGGACAATTTTGCATAGAAAATATAAAGATTGAGTTGTTTTTATTTTACTCTCTACTTTGCCAAAAAAATAATTAAGGTTTGAATCTTGACAAACTAAATTTTAACCAAAACCTTAAACTTTGGCCGATATCACAAAAAGGTTCAGCTGTAGATAAAAAATAACGAGAGATTCGTAATTTTTGGACAATTCTACGTAAGAAAACTTAAAATTTGAAATATTTTTTCTTTTTA